GAAGAGCGTATCTGTGATTAAATATGCCACCTTACTGTATTCTTAGACCTGAGTAAAAGGGAAGGCGAAGATTGAACTGCATGTTTTGTGCTGTTGTGGAATGCTCTGATCAGAAGCTGCAAGGAGGTATATTCTCCAGGGGCACAGAAATGCTTACAGAATCAGTCATATCCATCTAAGAGACTTGCTCTCTGTGCCGTCAGTTACTACACTGAGCAGGACAAAGATGCTGTGAAGCAGGTGGCCCAATCTGTACCCAGAGCATGTACAAATATTTGTACTACTGAACTGTTCTGCTTTTGTCACCAATTCACTTCAGTGTCATTATAAGCTATTTTTGTTAACTGTCCAGAGTGTGGTTTCAAGTTATCCACCAGCAGGTCCACAGCATTGTTAGTAGAACAATGCTTCAGTGCACTGGTAATCAATCAAGTTGTTTTGCAATAAAGTAAAGACATTTTAAATCTCATGAGGAAACAAACCACTACATATTATACATGTGCATGCTTTTGCCCTTCTTACATTGAGCAGCAAATTATACAACAGACTTTGTGTTTTTCATGCAAGAGCCTAGCCACATGCTCTTACCACAGATTAGTTTGCATATAGTTGCTTTCTGACTTTGAGCATGATGTCATGTCACAACAGATACAAATTTATTGAGAGATAACTGTACACTTTCTGAAGTAGATTAAAACCAGTGCTATTACTGAAGTGATTGGCAGTACTTCTCACTGTGTCTCTCATTTTTTTAAAAAGGTAAGTAGATATGCATAAGCCCTTTCGTGAGGTTGCAGGAAACATACACCAAGGCTAGTTTTCATTCCGTTGTTAAGACCATATTCTTCGGGTATTACGTTTTTTGAAAAGGCAACAGAGAAATGCTTTTTTTTCAAACAGAGAAAAAACATTTAGGTACTTCCCAGTCTCACGCGTGATCATTATTTCATTAGCCTGTGCATCAGCCTGACAGATGTTTTTAAAAAACATGTGGTTTTGAGCTCTTAGTGAGGCTGAAAAGGGATACTTTCACTTCATTTAAAAATACCAGATAAAAGTGACTTGAACTTTTTTCCTGGAACTATCCCTGAAAATTGTTGGGACCATTTCAGCCCAGTTTATTCTAGTTGAGGGGAATTTCATAGATAAATGGAATAATAATAAAGACAAACTATTAATGTAATAGACTGTTTAAGGAATTTTGGATGAAAACATGTGAAAACTTTATATTAAATTGCATTTGTGCAAATATATGAAAATACTCTCTTTTATTTGGTCTATGCACTGTAAATTAAATGAGAATCTGAAAGGATTATATCTTTTCTCTGACTGCACATTTTTGAATAGAGTGCCTAGTGCTTTCCAAAGCTGGGGCTCACTGCAACATGTGATAGGGAGTAAAGTTAGAACTTTGTAAAGAGTTTCAGGGAAATACTGCTCAACTGTGGTTTAAGTCAAATCACAATTGAAGTTGTCTGTTGATTTATTAACAACATGTAATTAACTGGCAATCATATATTCAGAATTAATATCAGCAATAAACCACAGTATTAGGTGTGATTAATATTAAATTAACTTACAGCATGTTAATAAACACAAATTTCGAAGTGTCCTTCCATGGCTAATCCCCAGAAAACTCTGTATTACCCCTACATGCATATTCATGTGCTGGCATGCACAAATACCCTTCCCCAGCACATGTGGGTTACATGCACACCCACTCTCTTCTGGTAGTGCAGGTTTACCTGTCCACACGCATCTGCACTGGGAGATGTGGGTACTCCAGTTTAATGTATATTTGTGCTGATCCACACAATCCACTGATCCATGGGCCAGCAAGGAAATGCCCCACAAGGTCACAGAGCATACTTGAGGTTTTGCTGCTTGTTGCACCCGTGTATGGTGAGTCGACCGACCGGCTGGGATGCAGGCTTCTCACAGCGTTTTGCAGGGAGACTGCTCCACCTGGCCTTTGTGAAGGTCGCAATGCTGACAAGGCAGCTTCCAGTGGTGTCAGGCTAGGTTTTCACTGATGTGTGTTATGAAGGTCTCTCCCATGCTATAAGAGTTTTTCGTGCTGTTTTTACACTTCTTTTCAGTCTTTGCTTTTCTGTTGATGGTAATGTTAAACAGATATTTAACATCATAGTTACTTTCCTGTTCCTACTTAGGATAGTTGCAGGTGTCCTAGTTCTGTTTACACATGCTGGTACACTCTTATTCCTACTGCATCAACTGGTGTTAGCCAGGCCATTTACCAAGAGAGAAGGTCATATTGATTCTGCCATATACAAGGCCTAATTGGAACTGTAAAGACTAGCATGCTGTACATGTCTCGTGGTTTAAGACCACCCAGCAACTAAACACCATGCAGCTGCTCACTCTCTCCTCCCTTCCAGTGGCATGAGGAGGAGAATCATGAGAACCAAAGATAAAAAAACCTCGTGGGTTGAGGCAGAGACAGGGAGGGTTCACTCACCGCTTATGGTCACGGGCGAGAAACAGACTTGACTTTGGGAAAACACAAAAACTATTTAATTTGTTAACAATCAGAACCAGAGTAAAATAATGAGAAAGAGAACTACGTCTTAAAAAGGCACCTCTTCCCCACCCTTCCCTTCTTCCCAGACCCGAAGGCTTTGTTCCCAATTTCTCTACCTTCTCCCCCTGGCAGCGAAGGGGGCAGGGAATGGGGGTTGCGGTTAGTCCATCCCATGTTATCTCTGCCACTCCTTCCTCTTCAGGGGAGGGCTCCTCACAGTCTTCCCTGCTCCAACGTGGGATCCCTCTCTTGGGAAGATCTTTCACAAACTGCTCCAAGGTGGGTCCTCCCCATGGGCTGCAGTTCTCCACTAACTGTTCTGGTGTGGGTCTCTTGCACTTATTCACGGCTTCCTTTGGGCGCAGCCACCTCCTCCAGCATGGGGTCCTCCGCAGGCGACAAAATGTCTGCTCCACTGTTAAATCTCCATGAGCTGTAGCCAAGCTCTGCTCAGTTTCCATGGGCTGCACAGAGACAGCCTGCCTCACCGTAGTCTTCACCACGGGCTGCAGAGGAATCCCTTTCTCTTTACTGACTTTCGTCTCTGCATAGTTGTCTCTCTCACATCCCACCCCTCTCTCTGCCACAGGTTCTTTCTCTGGCTCCTGAGAAACTCCTGGCTCTCAGGCAGGGGCTGCACTGGGTCAGCTGGGCCAGAGCTGCGGCAGAGGCTGGGGCTGCAGAGGAGTCTGGACCCTGCCCAGGGCCACACCACTGCTCCATGCTCTGAGCCCCCTCTTAAATATGTTATTTGCAGAGGCGCTGACTGTCTTGGCCTTGTCCAGAGGTGGGTCCCACTTGGAGCTGCGGAAATTTCCAGCAGTTTCTTACAGGAGCCATGACTGTAGCCCCTCCCCTGCTGCCAGAACTCACCACACAAACCCACAACATGGTATATGTGAAGTGTACAGCTCAGTCATGGGAATGGGAAAATATGGAAATAATTTCTCTACAGATTCCCAGGGAGCTCTTTGAAGTGTATGCTTGTAAAGTTTTACTTTCAGGAAGTAAATTTCCTATTACTGTTCTCACCAGCACAGCTCCACCATGTGGTAATGTAGTGCTCAGTGGAGTGTTTTCCCCATTCGGTTCTCAATGTCAGCGCAGCCTAAATATAGTGCAAAAAATTTCTGTGTTACAATCTTCTTGGTCTGCATTGAAAACAGTAATCCAGCTGATACTAACAAAACCAGATGAGTTCAAGATCATTCCTGTTAGTAGGACTATTAATTTTTCTTGCTGGATAAGGAAACTGAAACTAATCCATGGTTTTGGACAGCTGTGGCCATATGAAACTTGACTGCTTTGTATACAGCTAATTGCTTTTGTATGTAAGTTTTTTTGATTGGATGCAAAAGCAGTGAACCAGGGGAATTATTTCATTTTCCTGATGTTGCAGGTTCTTATTGAGACTGCCAAGAAGCTTGGGCTCCGGTGTCATTCCAAGGGGACAGTGATCACAATCGAAGGCCCACGTTTCAGTTCTCGAGCAGAAAGCTTGATGTTTCGCAACTGGGGAGCTGATGTTATCAACATGACCACAGTGCCTGAAGTGATTCTTGCAAAAGAAGCTGGAATGAGTTATGCTAGTATTGCCATGGCAACAGATTATGACTGCTGGAAGGAACATGAAGAAGCCGTGAGTGAAACTTTTTTTCCATTGAGCATTGTCCTGAGGGATCTAGATGAGAACCTGTGGGTTTTGGTAGGAGATCACATACTGGACTAGGTCTGTTCTTTCTTACATCAGTATCGTTGAGTTATTCTGGATGAACGATTGTGAAAGTAAGAACAGAATCCATTTTTGCTACCTCATTCATTTTCATAAACTTGCCTCACTACTAGCAAACCTTTTGTCTCCTCTTGTCTGAATCAGGGGGTCTGTGTGCATGAAGCTTGTGAGCTCTGTGTATGAGCTTGTCTTCCCATAATTGGCCTGCTGTTTTTTCTTTTGTGGTTCTGTGCAAAATGATGTATCTGCTTTAGTTCTCCTGTTTGTCTAGAATACAATCAGACATATACTTGTAGAGGAAATAAGTTTTTACTGGATAAAACAATTGTGGCATTTTAAGGCTTCACCTTTTCACTTAGAGATTGATGAGTTAAATTAATTTATTTGAGTATTTAAAATGTGGGCTATCAAAATTGAGAGACACCACTCAGTTTTATTGTTTTTCTAGGTTTCAGTGGATAAAGTTCTAAAGATGCTGAAAGAGAATGCAAATAAGGCTACTAGCATACTCCTTACAGCTATACCTCGGATAGGTTCCATGGAATGGACTGACACCCTGCATACCCTGAAAGTAAGTACATATATGAGCCTGATGAGTACTGGGGACAGTATATGCATATATGCACATAATATAAGTTCCAAGATGTTTCTGTTTAAATCATAACAGAGTAGATGCTTCAACAAACCGTATCTATTCAAGATGGGCAAATTCATTAAGACTCCCACAAGCTTTATTGCAAAGATCTAGCTTCCATTTTACTAGAAGTGTTACAAAAGGTAAAAAATCAAGGTCATCTATATATGGTTGACGAACTGTTGTCTTTCATAGCACAGGTAAGATACAAACCTATGTGAGCAGCCAAATGAAAAACCTGTACCTCTGCTCGGCTTTAGCTTAGATTGTAGAACAATGGAGAGACAACTAGAGAAGACTGAACCAGACCAAAAACATTGTGCTCTTTAATAAGTGGGAGAGGAGTCTATTACAAGATATGGGTAATAAACAGTTTGAAATTACTAAAACTGTGTTCTTCCACAGGTTTCAGCTCCACAGTGCATGAAAACAAAATTGAAAAATATTTCAAAATATATTGGTGAGGGAACTTTTAAGCAGAATTTTTCTTAGACAAGAGTTTATTTACATGTTTTACATCATCTCTTTTTCACAGGCATTCTTGAGATCCTTTTCTGGCTATAATGTAGAGGGAAAGAACAATGTTAAAATAGTTTGGCTGTCCATCCAGCTTCTCGACAAGCTTTTTGTGACAAGTAGCCACTTCCAAGCATACAAGAGTATGATGTGCAAGAGCAACTGAGGGTTACATTGAGATGCTCTGGAAGACAGAAAAGAGGACTGGGATGTGAAAGAGCAGGCAGAAAAGGGCCCCAAGGATCCCTGTTAGTGGAAGCAGCAGTAGTCTGAAAAGAAGGAAGACTATCGATGAAATTTTTGAGAGAGTCCAGTCTCTGATAACTCTCATCTCTTAGGTTCTTTCTTTCTCTGTTCTGAAAATCTCTATGTTGACTGAAATTTGAATTGGTAAGAAAGACAAACACAGGCATTAAGTCATGTCTTCATATACCTGAAAATGTGTCCCTGAAATTCAACTATCAACAGAACTGTATGTGCTGTAGAAATCTTTTGTGTCTTCTGATTAGGATCAAATTTTCAGTTTTGTTTCCAGTATGGTTCTTTTGTCAGTTACTCTCATCTCTAGTTTATTCAGTGTCCTAAAGGAAAGACTTATTAAGCAAGATTCACCCCAGACATTTTTAAGCATACTTGACCAGGTCAGGTTTGTGGAGGTCGAACCCAAATCCTTGAAATGAGTCTTTTGCTGATTCTTCACTGGAAAACCTACTTTTTATTAGGAGGCCTTGGATTGCGTTTATTACTCTTCCTCACCCAATTACCTGAAACAGCTATTTTAATGTCCCCTCTGTACATTTGTGAGAGGTAACTGACATTTCCCTTTTCCCCTTTGCAGTCTTTAGGAAGTTGTGTCATTGGTGGATAAGGGAGACAAAAGAATCAGTATTCCTTCTCCCCTCTAATCCACAAAAACTGGGCCACACTTTTTGATACAGCTGCCTGGCTATACAAGAAAACTCAGAATTTCAACTAATAATCTGAAAAATGTGCTAGATACTGCTCAGCTTCTTTGGTCGTGCTGGCATGCAAGGAAATTTCTCAAGTATATGATACTGCTTAGGTACTGAGGGATCTGCCTCCGATTCTGACAGGTGTACTTGAGTAAGCAGGGTCCTGTCACTTTCCCTTGCATGATTGTCCTGATTGTTCATTGGGAGTGAAAGAGCAGGTACTGAGTTTGCAAGTTTCCCCTTTAATGAGTGCTAACCCTTCTTTCTGTTCATTGTCAGCTGTTTAAAGCACCAATTCAAGTACTGCCTTCAGCTCAGTCCCTGAACTACTGTTTGGTGAAAGGAGATAATATGATGCACCAGAGGAAGAGTCACTCCATTCAAATGTAGCTTCTTAGGCTCTTTGTCTTAAGCTTCTGTTGTTGCCTTATGCCAGTGATGAATATTGAGATAGTTTCACTTTGGCTTGGCAATTCTTATGTGTTTATGCTCTTTGCTGATAGTGGCTAGGTTTGAGTGATAATACCCTGAGAAAGGGAGTTGATCTGAAGGCATTAGATGAACTGGAAACAGGAACTAGGTATTGGCAGTGGGACTTGAGATTTTTATGTTAGGAAAGTAGGAGTCACAATTGTTTCTGATTTAACACAACAGCTCTGGAAGAGTGACAGGAAAGTCTGAGGCTTTGGAGGCTTTCTCTGATTTTACTTAGGAAGAGCTGGATAGGCTAAAAATCTTTCTGTTTGAGGCATTAAGTGATGGTAAAGTAAGTGAAGGATTGGTCCTAGGCTTCTGTGTTAGTGAATAACGAGAGAGGCAATTATGCAGTACAGCAAGAGAGATATATATGTATGTGCCTCTGTACAAAGTGTGTAGTTGAACTATAAAGAGTTTTTTAAAAAAATATTCTCTTTGTAGATGTGAAGTGTTCCTCTGTATGTTTTACTCTGGGTATTCTGAAGGTCAGATGACAGGTATTTTTGAACTGATCTTTTTCGAGGCACCGTCTCCTAGAGCTCAAAAGCAGCTCCTTTTGCGTGCCCATTGGTAATGTGGTAAGGAATGCAGACAAGGAGGGAGCTGAGCAAGGCTGCAGCTGGTACTCTGTGATCAATGACAGTGTAAAGCCATGCCAGCCTACATCCAGGCCACAGCTGGGCATCTCAAATGGGCAGTTGCCAGTGTCCATTTCTATTGTTTGGGGAAGCATGTGAAACCATAAAGCTCTACCCAGACACAACATTTCCTTTTTAAGCTTTGTAATCTGGCTGCTATGACTGGAGAACTTCACCACGCAGCAGAAAATATGCTGCCGGTCCCATTGCCCAGCAGCATCTGTCTCTCCTCCCATGGAGGTATGCATCCGACACACACACATGTGGTGGTGTTACCTCTGAATTTCCCAGTAGTCTTTAGGAAACTCTGGAGCGTTGAAGCAAAAAATGCCCAAGGGCTATTTTTCTGCTAAAGGATAGGCTGCCTGACATCTGTTGGTTTTCATATGTCTTTTCATCAGTGATATGCCAATGAGTTTAAGTGTAGTTTGAAAGATACTATTTTTTAACTGCCTAAGATGACTTCAGGCAAGTATTTCCTGGCTCTGTTACTGTAAAAAGAGATCATTCTTCAGGCACAGCATCTTCCTACAGCCTATAATTTGGAGGCATGGCCAGGGTACAAAGCCCTTACTCGTTCAGAACAGGGTATGACCACATCGTATTTGCAAGATCATGGAGTAGATCCTCCTGGAGATTCTGCTGAGATACATGGAAAATAAGGAGGTGATTGGTGACAGCCAACATGGCTTCACCAAGGGAAAATTTTGCCTGACAAATTTAGTGGCCTTCTACAATGGAGCTACAGCATTGGTGGATGAGGGAAGAGCAACTGATGTCATCTACCCAGACTTGTGCAAAGCATTCAACACACGACATTCTTGTCTCTAAATTGGAGAGACCTGGATTTGACAGTTGGATAAGGAATTTGCTGGATGGTCGCACTCCAAGAGCTGTGGTCAATGGCTCGATGTCCAAGTGGAGACCAGTGACAAGTGGCATTCCTCAGGAGTCAGTATTGCGACCAGTGCTGTTTAACATTTTGTGGGAGACATGGACAGTAGAATGGAGTGCACCCTCACCAACTTTGCCGACGACACCAAGCTGTGTGGTGAGGTGGACACGCTGGAGGGAAGGGATGCCGTCCAGAGGGACCTGGACAGGCTTGAGAGGTGGGCCAGTGCAAACCTCATGAAATTTAACAAGGCCAAGTGCAAGGTCCGGCACGTGGGTCGGGGCAATCCCAAGCACAAATACAAGATGGGAGGAGAATGGATTGAGAGCAGCCCTGAGGAGACAGACTTGGGGGTGTTGGCTGATGAGAAACTCAACATGAGGCAGCAATGTGCACTTGCAGCCCTGAAAGCCAACCGGATCCTGGGCTGCATCAAAAGAGATGTGACCAGCGGGGTGAGGGAAGTGATTCTCCCCCTCTACTCCTTGCAAGACCCCACCTGCAGTACTGTGTCCAGCTCTGGGGCCCCCAGCATAAGAAAGACATGGACCTGTTGGAGCAGGTCCAGAGGAGGGCCACAAAGATGATCAGAGGGCTGGAGCACCTCCCGTACAAGGACAGGCTGAGAGAGTTGGGGTTGTTCAGCCTGGAGAAGAGAAGGTTCTGGGGAGACCTTATAGCAGCCTTCCAGGACTTAAAGAGGACCTACAGGAGAGATGGGGAGGCACTCTTGATCAGGGAGTGTAGTCACAGGACGAGGAGTAATGGTTTTAAGCTAAAAGAGAGTAGGTTTAGATTGGATATTAAGGAGAAAGTTTTTTACTGTGAGGGTGGTGAGGCACTGGAACAGGTTGCCCAGGGAAGTTGTGGGTGCCCCATCCCTGGAGGTGTTCAAGGCCAGGCTGGATGAGGCTTTGAGCAACCTCTTCTTGTGGAAGGTGTCCCTGCCCATAGCCTGGGGGTTGGAACTAGACGATTTCTAAGGTCCCTTCCCACCGAAAACCCCTTCTATGATTTAATGATTCTATTTATGTCTTGGATCAGGAAACACAGATGATGCTATTGATCACAGTGGTCCAAGTGATTTCTGTCTGGTGTCAGGGAAATTTCTGGGTAGTACAGGTCAACCATGGGTGATGTACACCTGGATCTTCTGTTTGCTGAAAAGAGTTGCTTAGTGAGGTGATAATCCCTGGCAGTTGTTGCTGTAATGCTCATAGTGACGTTTGGCATCTTGTGGGGAGCCAGGAAGTTGAGCAGCAGAGTACAGATGCTGGAGTTCAGGTGAACGTACTTGGGTTTAGCCTGTGAGCTAGTAGGTATCATCTCATGGGAGGCAGCTATGAAGGGTCAAGGAACTCCAGAAAGCTGGCAGGTGTTTGAGGGCAGCATTCTCCAAGGACAGGTGTGAGTGATCCACAGAAAAGCCCATCAGGAGGCTCACTTGGCTAAACAAAAAACAGAGCTCAGTGGGAAAATGCAGCATTCAAGGGTTGGAGGCAGGGACAAGCTACAAAGAAGGAATCCAGAAGCAGGAGCAGGTATGTAGGGATGGTTTCAGGAAAACCAAAGCTTGCCCTATAGTTGACACTTGGAAGGAATGTCATAGGCAACAAGAATTTCTGCCACTGCATTGGTGTCAAAAGTTTATCGAGTACAATGTGGGCTCATTGCTGAATGAAGTAAACAAATCAGTGACAGCAGACAATTTCAAAAGGTAGCCAATATAGTAGATTCTTTTCTATCTTTGTTAGGAAAAATGTTGGTGAGAGAGGAAAAACTGTCTTGCTGAAAATAATTCTAACTTGTAACAGCTAGGAATTTTGATCTGTACCTTTATTATAGTAAGGTTCAACCCCCTGAGGATCAGGAGAGAATCTGTACTGGGATGTTAAAAGGAATGTCATGTTAGAACTGATTTTTCTTACAGCATGGGTAGATCAGCTTGTGGTAAGGTGTCAGAGCTTCTCTGAATGCTCCTCAGTTAAACTTCTGGATTCTCTGAGCAGACCTGCTGATATTACCTGCCTTTTTTGAACTTCTCTACTAACCTCTGTGAAATTATATTTGTTAGACCTCTGATACAGGCAATTGTGTTGTACTTCTCCAACATGAGTCCTCAGGCTGCAGTTCTTCATTAACTGCTCCAGCGTGGGTCCCTTTCACAGGGTGCGGTCCCTCAGGCACAGACTGCTCCAGCGTGGGTCCCCCACAGGGTCACAAGTCCTGCCAGCAAACCTGCTTCAGCCTGGGCTCCTCTGTCCAAGGGGCCAGAGGCCCTGCAAGGAGCTGGCTCCAGCACAGTGAATCAAATAAATTAACTCAACAGTCAGAGTTTGTAACTGTTAAGCAGGTATTCCTTTATTTGCAGCGCTGGGCAGCAGTGGGGATAGCTTTGCCTTAAGTGCTCCGCCTCACCATGGGCTGCACCACGGGCTGCAGGGGAATCTCTGCTCCGGTCCCTGGAGCACCTCCTCCCCTCCTTCTGCACTGACCTTGGTGTCTGCACAGTGGTTTCTCTCACATATTCTCACTTGTCTCTTCCAGCTGCTGTTGCACAGAAGGTTTTTTCCTTTCTTAAATATTTTATCACAGAGGTGCTACCACCATCACTGATGGGCTCAGCCTTGGCCACCGTTGGATCCATCTTGGAGCCAGCTGTCCTTGGCTCTGTTGGATATAGTCACAGAATCATAGAATGGGTTGGGTTGGAAGGGACCTTAGATATCATCTGGTTCCAACCCCCCTGCCATGGGCAGGGACACCCTCCACTAGACCAGGTTGCTCAAAGCCTCAGTCAGCCTGGCCTTGAACACCTCCAGGGATGGGGCATCCACAGCTTCTCTGGGCAACCTGTTCCAGTGCCTCACCACCCTCACAGTGAAAACTTTCTCCTAATATCTATTCTAAATCTGCCCTCTTCCAATTTAAATCCATTACCCCTTGTCCTGTCACTGCATGCCCTTGTAAAAAGTCTGTCTCTATCTCTCCTGTAGCCCCCTTCAGGTGCTGGAAGGCTGCTATAAGGTCCCCTCAGGGCCTTCTCCAGGCTGAACAACCCCAACTCTCTCAGCCTGTCCTCACAGGGGAGGTGCTCCAGCCCTCTGATCATTTTCGTGGCTCTCCTCTGGACCCACTCCAACAGCTCAACATCCTTGTGTTGGGGGGCCCAGAGCTGGATGCAGGACTCCAGGTGGGGTCTCACAAAAGCAGAGTAGAAGGGCAGAAGCATCTCCCTTGACCCAGCAGGTCACCACGCTTCTCTTGGTGCAGCCCAGGATCTGGTTGGCCTTCTGGTCCACGAGCACACACTGCTGGCTCATGTTCAGTTTTTCATCTATGATACCCCCAAATCCTTCTCTTCAGCGTTGCATTCAAGGAAAGCTTTGTGCTGGTTTTGGCTGCAATAGGCTTAATTTTCCTCATAGTAGCTGGTATGGAGCTATGTTTTGGATTTGTGCTCAAAACAGTGTTGACAACACAGGAGTGTTTTAGCCATTGCTGAGCAGTGCTTACACAGAGACAAGGCCTCTTCTGCTTCTCACAGCACCCCACCAGCGAGTGGGCTGGGGGTGCACAAGAAGCTGGGAGGGGACACAGCTGGGACAGCTGACCCCAACTGACCAGAGGGATATTCTGTACCCTGTGATGTCATGCTCACAATAAAAAGCTGAGGGAAGAAAAGGGAAGGGGGCGACATTTGGAGTGATGGTGTTGTCTTCCCAAGTAACCATTACATATGATGGAGCCCTGTTTTCTGGGAGATGGCTGAACACCTGCCTGCCAATGGGAAGCAGTGAATGAATTCCTTGTTTTGCTTTGCTTGTGCACCTGGCTTTTGCTTTACTTATGAAATTGCCTTTCTCTCAACCCATGAGTTTTCTCACTTGTACTCTTCTGGTTCTCTTCCCCATCCCACCAGGGGTAAATGAGTGATCGGCCGTGTGGTGCTTATTGCTGGATGGGGTTAAACCATGACAAGCTTCTAACAGCTTCTCACAGAAGCCAGCCATGTATGCCCCCTGTGCGTGGTGGAGGCCACCAAACCTTACCGTGCAAACCCGGTATAGATTGTTGCTCTCAGTACCCATAAGCCTGTTACCTATGTTTAAAAAGTTGTAATGAGAAGTCATTGAACTGTTGTAGGGTATGCCCTGTAGGGAGCTGTAATTCTTTTAACTTCTGTGGTGTTGGAGGAAGTTGGAGGTACTACGCACATGAAAAGAGTTACACCTGTTTGTAATCCAAATGGAAGCTATGTAGTCTGCCTTTACGTTGAAAAGTAATTTTGCTCTCCGTTGGCAGAGGAAGCATTCATGTACTTTGACTTTGTATTTCAGACAACAGTGCAGTGTTCAGTCATCCTGCCAAAGCAGTAACAACCTGGATTGAGCTTGAAGTTTGGGTGCTCACAAGGAAGAGTGGATCACTTCTGAACTTCCAGAGGTCGTAGTGTCTTCAAAAATGGTTACAAGCAGAAAAGAATGGAGTAAATGTTGACCAATGATAATGTATAAGACAGCTTTTATAATCTCTATCATGTATATTTTAAACTTGTAATAGCTAGATCAGACAGTGGCTGAAGAAGAAAGTCAGTAGCGAATTGTCATCCTCTATTCAGTGATACCTTTTAGTTGATGAAAGAAAGAAAAGGCTAGGTAATACTCTGTGGCAGTTTCATAAAAATGAGATCTAAGAAAGTAGATTCACAGGTATGCTATTTGCTTTGCTATTTCTGCCTCCCATCTCTTCCTTTGAGAAGGCAAATGGTTACAATTCATTTCAGAAACATACCAGAAAAACTGAACAGACAATTTCAAAATAAACTATTTTTATACATTATCCATATTTTTTTATTTCAGGTTTTTTTTTAAAGAAGTGTTTTTTGTTTCTGTGCTAGAAGTTGTGGTTTAATAATTGTGGTGGTTCTTTCACAGCAGCAGTTGTGTTATGACTAAATGTTCTCATTTAAAAAAATTACCTGTTTGCCTAAGCCAAATTTGTGCCTGAAGATGTACTTCTGTGACTTCCAGAACTGTACAGAACTGTACAGAAAAGTACTTTGCTGCCAGTGTCCTGAACACTGTGCTGGCCTTTTGCTGCTGCATTGATCTAACAATTCTCGGTTTAGTTTCTGTTTTAAGTGATGAATGTGCTCAAGTGCTTTAAATGTATGCATTTCATTTTTTAACACAATTTTAATTCAGTAAAATGCTGCTTCTTGTCTAGTAAATAAAGTAAATGAAGCTTATACTTCTCCAAACTGTGTGCAAATTGGTTTTTTATTATTATACTACTCATTAGTGACTCAATTTTGTTTGTCTGACAATGACTTTTGCCATTCACAGAACAGGTTAATCGTGATACCTTGTAAACACCACTTTCAGAAAGACCACTTTTAGAAAATACTCTGCTGCTTTAAGTTTCTAAGTCCCTGAAACAACAGGGATTGCCAAGACAGAAGTCAGTCAGAGCGCAATCCAAGCCAAGCAAGGGAAGGATCGGAAACCTAGGAGGTACAGATTCTCACATTAATGTAAAAAAAAAAAAAAAAAAAAAATTAATCCAAAAGAATTTTTTAAAAAATTATCCAAAATTAAATCTAAAAAATTTAATCCAACAGAAAATTTAAAAAATAACCAGGTACATAAACTTTGTATGCCTTGTTCTGTTAGGCACCCAGTCTCCTGCTGTGAAAGCCTTTAGATTTGGGCGCATTCTCCCTAGCAAAACCTGGATAGGTGCTTTTCAGATAATGGGGAAAATAGCTTAACCAACTTTCCCTATTTCCTGGTTTTTTTAAAAAAAAAACTTAGATTGCAGGAGCCAGAGCTTGAAACTTGACAGGAAGAAGGCTACACATGTAACATACCTTTTACTGTGTTTAATATCCAGCCAAATCAGATGGCTGGCCTTAAAAACGGTTTTCATTTTTGTTATCTTGCCCCCTAGACAGTTGATCGGAGCCATAAGGTTCATATTTGGATGTTCTAGGAGAAAGTTTTTTCTTGGTTTCCATTTTCAGTCCCCCTTGTTTGGATGGGTTTTGGTTTGGGGGTTTTTTTGTATTGTTTTTACGTTCCATAGTGACATATAAAGATAATTGTTCTGTTAATTTTCTTGTTTTATGTAATGGATACTTACAGTGTCACAGGACAGTATGGCACAGAGCAAGTCCATAGTTAGTGTTTTTTTCCTATACATTTGCACTGGTCTTGGGGGTTAAACTACGACAACATTTCTGTTATAAATTCTTCATCTTCATATGCAAGGCTAGATGATAATGCTAGGTAAGGACACGGAGCTGGCTGGATGGCCACGTCCGAAGAGTATCAGTCACTAGCTCAGTGTCCAAGTGGAAACCAGTAATGAGTGGTGTCCCTCAGGGGTCTGTACTGGGACCAATACTATGTAATATCTTCATCAATGACATGAGATAGTGGGATTGAGTTTGCAGACAACACAAAACTGAGTGGTGCCATTGGCACACCTGAGGGACAGGATGCCATCCAGAGGGACCTTGTCAGGCTCGAGAAGTGGGCTTATATGAAGTTCAACAAGGCTGAGTACAAGGACCTATACGTGGGTTGGGGCAAATCTCCCCCATATCAATACAGGCTGGGGGAGGAGGGAATTGAGAGCAGCCCTGCAGAGAAGGATGTGGGGGTACTTATGGACGAAAAATCAGACATGAGCTGGGCATGTGTGCTCACAGCCCAGAAAACCAGCCATATCCTGGGCTGCACCAAAAGACCAGTAGGTCGAGGGAGGTGATTCTCCCCCTCTGCTCTGCTCTCAAGACCCCACCTGCAGTACTGCATTCAGCTCTGGGATCCCCAGCACAAGAAAGACTTGGACCTGTTGGAGTGGGTCCAGAGAAGGGCCATGAAAATGATCAGAGGGCTGGAATGCCTCTCCTAAAAGGACATGCTGAGAGAGTTGGGGTTGGTCATCCTAGAGAGGAGAAAGCTCCAGGGGCACCTTCTTGTGGCCTTTCAATACTTAAAGGGGGCTTGTAGGGAAGACGGAGGGACACTTTTCACCAAGCCCTGTATTGACAGGACAAGGGGCAATGGTTTTAAACTGAAAGAGGATAGATCTGTGTTGGACAAACGATTTTTTTTTTTATGATGAGGGCAGTGAGCCAGTGGAACAGGGTGCCCGGAGCAGTTGTGGATGCCCCATCCCTGAAGGTGTTCAAAGCCAAGTTGGATGGAGTTTTGCACAACCTGATACAGTGAAAGATGTCCCTGCCCATGGCAGGGGGATTGGGCTAGATGAGCTTCAAAGGTCCTGATTGTATGATACCTATTTGCTCTGTCAGCATAGGCTTGGTATCTGAAGATGTCTCATGCAGAATTAATATAAAGTCATTAACACGGTATGTAGTGTGTTTTTGCAAAGTTCAGCATACACTTTATACTCTTTGAAATTTATTGGGAGATATTTATCCAGCAGACTACACAATGAAGATGGTATCTGGCAAGAAAAGCATAGGTGATGTGTAATTATAAAAAGATAGGCCAAATAACTGGTTTAAATTGTCTTTCTAAGCAGTCCTAAGAAAGGTATCAAATTTATTGTAGGAAGTACTGAAGGTAAACATTCTGGCAGAGAACAGCGGCCATTCTTGGTCTCAGAATGTCTCTGGTTTGACAAGAGTGAGACAACAACACATAGAGGACTTAACTGGTGGAAATTATCTTTCTTCTGTTTGACTGTCTCTCCATAATAATTTTATTTTTTACAACCATTATTCGGCCTGTTTGCTGTGATGGTTTTGGGGTGCCTTCTTCTGTTGCATAGTATTGATGCTGTTCCTGTATCATAACACCAGTATCAGTGCTAACAGATACTAGCTTGAGGTTCTTGGAAAATCACATCTTGGCCTGGTAAACGGCTTACCAGGATATAGGATGATAAAGTGTTGCTGTTGCCTAGTTTCCAAACCTCTCAGACTCCAAAATGAATGCCTCTCAAGGCCAACTAATGCATTTGCTCCTCTTACAGAAACTTTTACACTTACTGCTACAGTTTTACACTGACATCTCTTAAACCAAGTATTGTCTCCTACAAAAATTAACAAAGCTTTCAGGAGGACCTTTCAGGACCTGACTGGTTTCTATGTGTATATTTCCCAAACTTGTATTAAAGCCTCATTTAAACAGTGACTACTACTTCAGCACAGGTACCTAAATAGTGAGCACTGAAGCAAATGAAGCAGCTTCTCTGTGAGTAAATTGCACATCTTGTGCAAGGTGGATTGGAACCATGGAAAGCCTAATAAAGTGTTAGCTAATGAAATTTATCCTTAAGTTTTTCAAGCCTATTTCTCACTCTCCAGTGGAATTGTCCGAAACTAACTCATTGATTTGTATGGCCTGAATGCTTTACAGGCTTTTGGGGGAAAGAGATCACCCTTAGGGCTAGCAGGAGTCAGTGAAGAACAGGTCAGTTTCTCCTGCTCCTGTGCAGGACTTGCCTTGGGGGAATAGAGAAATGTATCTGGGAAACAGTGGGTATATTAGAAATAAATGCCGGAAGCCTGCTTTTCTTCTTCACGCATACACAGGAGAGACTGAATGGAAGTGATTGATAGTAAACGGCACAGGCGCATAAAGCAGGAGGCCTGCCAGTATATTCCCAAGGACTGGGAAATACAGAATGGGTAGCCGACTGATTCCTTTTAAAATTTTCCACTTGGCTCCCAAGGAAGTGCCACAGTTTGGAACTACATTAAATGTACAGGTCCACACAGACCACAAGCAGAAGTGTCACTGCAGAGTAAGTTCATCATGCAAAGAACAAATGCAAGACGAAGACACACACCCAGTCACAGGAGCTTTGTCCAACTGTCCCTTCAGTGGCATTCGTTAGGAGTTCTGCTTCATCTTGGCATACACTTCACAGGTGACAGATCTTCTTCCACTTTGACTGAAGAGAATTCTGCATCTGGACTCTGTAGCATTCAGACCCAAAAGCCCTTGTCTATATTCCAAACCAGCACCCCACACTTACTTGTCTCATGAGCGTTTGCTCTCTCTGATTTCTTGCAATTGTGTCCTAACCTGCTTCTCATTGATTGTTGGAATGTTGTCTTTTGGTTACCCCAGTTATTCAAGGCTTTTAAAGGCCTTTTCTCTTGGAGGAGATCTCAATTTATTTTGCTTGGAGCATCCTTCCATGTTGTGTGTTAACAGTGTAATGTACCGATGCAATGCAATATTGTGGGTTCAAATATGCTACAAATTAGACTGTGAGGTAGGCCATTAGATTTACCCTTTTTCTCCCTTTTCTGTTTCCTCTAAATCATTCTGTGCAGACTAACATTGGTCTGACATAAGATTGCCCACTCATATCTCATTTTCACTTAGCTAAC